CACTCCTGAAGGCTGAAATATAACTATTTATAATGACAATTACACTGCAAGGGGGGAAAGCCTCTTCTGGTACAAGGACCTAAAGGAAAACCAGATGCCATGTGTGTCCACTGGCAGCTGCTGGGCTCACATGTAAACTTGTCTTAGACACACCATGTCTTCTGGACTCTGGGGACCAAGATCCTGCTCAGCCCACCCACGCAGCGGCAGCCCCTGCCCCTCCCAGGCCTGAATCAGGACTGCGCTCTGTCCTGCCGTCAGCCGGGCATCCCCTAGGGCTCTCCTCACAACAGCCATGCTCGCTGGCTGACCCTCTTCCCTCCCCTGGGGCCCCTCAGCTCCCCCTCCTTGCCCCCTTGCCCGAATCGTGCTCTCTGCACCCTAGCTTGGGCCAGGCCCCATGCTCACGAGCCCCAGGACCCCCCTCAGTTACCTGCCCCATCTACACCAAGACCCTAGGGCCGCCCCCCACCCCTAGACTGCGAGCCAGCCTCTCCCCTGCCCAGGTACGAGCTCCGGGTCATCGTGTGGAACACAGACGAGGTGGTCCTGGAGGACGATGACTTCTTCACTGGGGAGAAGTCCAGCGACATTTTCGTGCGAGGGTGGGTGAGAGGGCCCCTGGCCGGGCAGGGGGGCGGGGGGCTGGGTTGTGTGAGCCTGCCATCCCAGGAGCCTGGAGGGGAGGAAGGGGGCTCTCCAAGGGTGGCCGAAGGTCTGGAGCCCGTGGCATCCAGCAGGTGGCTGAAGGGCCAGCAGGAAGACAAGCAGGACACGGACGTCCACTACCATTCCCTCACCGGCGAGGGCAACTTCAACTGGCGCTACCTGTTCCCCTTCGACTACCTGGCCGCTGAGGAAAAGATTGTCATCTCCAAGAAGGAGTCCATGTTCTCCTGGGACGAGACCGAGTACAAGATCCCCGCGCGGCTCACCCTGCAGATCTGGGACGCGGACCACTTCTCCGCGGACGACTTCCTGGGTACAGGGCTGGGGGACGGAGGGGACGGGCAGGGGGCGGCGGGGAGCAGAGGGAGCTCACCCCCATGGGGATCAACCAGACGCAAGCTGTCAGAGCTGACTCCAAGGTCACCGCAGGGGCCATCGAGCTGGACCTGAACCGGTTCCCCCGGGGCGCCAAGACGGCCAAGCAGTGCACCATGGACATGGCCACGGGGGAGGTGGACGTGCCCCTGGTCTCCATCTTCAAGCAGAAGCGCGTCAAAGGCTGGTGGCCCCTCCTGGCCCGCAATGAGAACGATGAGTTCGAGCTCACGGTGGGGACCAGCAGAGGGCGGGGCCGGGCGGGGTGAGGGTGCTGAGGGCCTGGCACCTGACCTGAGCACTGGGATCCTTCTGTCCCTCCCTGCAGGGCAAGGTGGAGGCAGAGTTGCATCTACTGACAGCGGAGGAGGCAGAGAAGAATCCAGTGGGTCTGGCCCGCAATGAACCTGACCCCCTAGAGAAACCCAAGTGAGTGTGCCGCCTCGCCTGGCCCCCTGCCACGCTCGTGCCTGGGGCCGCTGGGACAGGAAGAAGGGGCCAGAACCTTCTAGTCGTCTTGCTCCCACTCTGCAGGCACCTTTCTGGGCAGTCGCCTCATTGCAGGAGGGCCTCCTGCCCCCTCTGCCTCCCCCTGGAATCCCCCCCTCACTCTGGACCAGAGCACGGGCTACGGGGCTTCTGTGCAGGGGATCGGCTCCTCTCCCAGGGAAGGCCCCATTTCACAGCCTTAAACACCCTTCCTCATTTTTAGCCAGAAGCAAGCAGCTGCCGCCGTGGTGGGGCCCCAGGGGTCCCTGATGGCTGGGGAGGTGCCCGGAAGCAGGCCCAGGCCCGCTCAGCCCACGGTCGCCCCACCCCCGTCACAAGACCCCCCGGCCACGCCCTGAGCCTTCATCCTCTGTGTCCTCTCTCCATGTCCCCCTCGGCCCTCCTGCTGCTCCAGGCGGCCAGACACGAGCTTCATCTGGTTCTTGAACCCTCTCACGTCTGCCCGCTACTTCCTGTGGCACACGTACCGCGGGCTGCTCCTCAAACTGCTCCTGTTCCTGCCGCTGCTCCTCCTCCTCGCCCTCTTCCTCTACTCTGTGCCTGGCTACCTGGTCAAGAAGATCCTGGGGGCCTGAGCCTGCTGGTTCCGGTCCTCCTCACTTCTTCCTCCGGACCCAGGGCCGATGAGCTTGGCAGCATGCGAAACACACACGCACACGAGTACACGCACACACACACGCACACAAGTGCACGCACACATGCAGCAACTCGCGAGCTGGCGAACGGTAGCACGGGCTCTCAGAACTAAACTCACTGTTTTCCATGAGTGCATGTTAGGCCAGAGAGGCGAAGCAACTTGCCTGAGGTCACCCAGCAGATCAGAGCTGAGACCCAGCCTTGGCTTTCAAATTGCCAAGCTAGTCTTCTCAGCACTACGCCACCTCCTGTCCTCGTGACAGACGGACTTTAACCCAGGGCCACTGGCAGAAGGCAGTTGACATGTGGACAGGGAATGGGGCAAGGGTTTGGCTAGGATTAGCCAGGAGGCCTGGCTAGTTCCCCCCAGCAGTCCCCTCTGAGCCCAGAGCTGTTTTCTTTCACATGCACTCTCTCTCCCTACCCTTTCACCAACCTTGGCGGCAGGGTCCTCTATTCACCCCACTGCGTAAGTGAGGAAACTGAGGCTCAGACAGGAGCCCAACCTGCCCATCACCACTAAGACTGGAAACCAGGTGCCCTGCACCGGAGCCCCACTCCACCCTGTCCTTGGCTGGGGAAGGGCACAGTCTGTCCAGGGGGCGGGGGGGGGGGGGGGGGGGGGGGGGGGGGGGGGGGCAGGGCAGGAGTTTTAAAAAGCATGTCCAGTACTTTAATTTTGTATCTTGACATCTCCTAAAACTGTGCCTGTAACACCAACAACAGAGGGTAAAGCTTAGCCAGCATCTGTGGGCTGCGAGTCTGTGCGGAGGTAGGGCCGTGATCCCACCCCGACGGCGGCCAAGTCGCTGAGAGTGGCAGGCGCCCCAGCGGGGCATCCTCAGACCCGGGGCAGGGCCTGCTGGGGACAGAAGCCCACGTTCTTCAGAAAAGGGGGAGAGGTTGAGAAACACTGATTTCACTGAAAGACAACACGGGCCTCGCCTGGAGCGCATACAGCAAGCTGCTAAATAGAGGAGGTTCCCAGTTGCTAAACAGGGGATGTTCCCAGTAACCAGAACCATCTGCAGCTCTGCGGCTGCCTCTTCAGATGGTGAGTGGCCAAGGCCGCAATCGTCCAGGTGGAGGCTGGATGGCTGCCCGACTCCCAGAACAGCCTCCCGGCCTTGTGAGGGGGCCAGAGAGTCCTACAGAGTGCATCAGGAATGCAAGCAGCAAACCTCGTGCTTAGAAAGGGCTGGAACCCCGGGCCTAGCACTCCCTGATTTGGGGACCGGGGCTGTGCCAGGGACCGTTGGAGTCTCAGAAGGCTGAGGGCCTGGGGTCCCCTGGGAGAGGCCCTCTGCCTGACCGCACCTTCCCCTCCCCCAGCCGGCCTGACACCGCCTTCGTCTGGTTCCTCAACCCCCTCAAGTCCATCAAGTACCTCATCTGCACACGGTACAAGTGGCTCATCATCAAGATCGTGCTGGCGCTGCTGGGGCTGCTCATGCTGGCCCTTTTCCTGTACAGCCTCCCCGGCTACATGGTCAAGAAGCTCCTGGGGGCATGAAGCTCTCTCCCACCACCACCACCCCAGCCCCCACCGCGTGGATGCCGCACCCCTCCCGGGCCTGTGCATTCGCCCCTCCCCTGGTGTGGACTTTACAGTCTCCCCTGAGGAACTCTAGAAGCCCAGTGTCCACCCTTGCAGCCTACTGCTTGCTGGGCTGGTGACACCCCCGCCCCTCCTCCACCTGAGCCTGCTGCTGGCCCCTCCCACCCTCCCCAGAGTGTGGGCAGGGGTGGGGGTCTGCCCCTCCTTGCTGAGGCACCACTCTTCTTCAGGCCCTGGCTCCCAGGGAGCCACCCCAGGTGCCCCCCAGGCCCTCCGGTGGAGGGGTAAAGCTTTAATGGAATTGACTGAGGATCCTGCCACGGGCCAGTGACCAGCACTATAAAAAGAATGAATAAGCAGAAAGCGGCACCCTCCCTCCCCAGCAGAATCTTTCGAGGGCAGCCACGCCACCAGTCTGTGCTGTGAACGCGGCCTGGCCCTCCCTTCTAATGGTGTGGGGGTGGCTGCCTCCTCCCTACTGCCCTGCCAGAGTGGATCCTCTTCCTGCCCCAGGGAGCACAAGCGCAGGCCTGTGGGTCTTTATCGCTTCCTCCCCTGCCCGGGCCAGTGCTCAGAGGCCTAGACAGGAGCAGTGAGCGTGAACCCCTGTGCCCCACCCCCACCCCCGTGCCCGCCAGCCCTGCCTTGCCAGGCCCTCATTTCGGCCAGGCCGGGAGGTGGTACTTGCAGTGAGAGCTGGGTTTCTCTTGGCTGTTGTTCCTGTCTTGAGTGGTGATTTTTCGCTTAATAATAAAAGAATTAAACACTGAGCTGACGAGTCTCCAGTTGGCCAGGTTGGGGGACCAGTACGGGGCCACGAGGTCTCTGAGGCTGGCAGACTCAGTACCTCCCGAGCCCCTCTGGCTTTTCCCCTTTGGGCAGGTAGCCTCGTGGCCCAGGCTTCAAGGAGGGGCTAAGGCACTGGCCCACCTGCCCAGGCTGCCCACAGGAGGGGCCTCACGCTGTACCAGGTGGACCCAGGGACCCCAAAACTCACTAAAAGGGTCCTACAGCCCAAGGACAGTCAGAACGCTTGAGACCTTGCAAGAGCCCCATAGCCGCAGCCTCCACTCGTAGATGCGCTCCAAATACAAGAAGGGAGCCCCATGCCGCCAGCCGGGGCCCAGTCTCCCAGGGACACGACGTTCTCGTACCACAGTCTGAGGTGGGGACACAGTCTCCTGGTGACACAGCAGTGGGGTCATGGGCCGGTGTCTCACTGGACCTGACCTCTTCAAAGAGATTCAGCCACGACTTTTTAAAGACTTTAATCATGACCGAAGGGTACAGGTAACCCTCCCGTGGCCTTATTTCCGCAGGCCCCGTCACAGAGCTCTGGCGAGCCCAGAGTCATCCCCAGTGGCTCCCCGGGTGGACCATGCCAGCCCCGGTGCCAGCACACACCTCAGCACAGCAGCCGGTGGACGCCCAGCTCTATTTTGTGGGCGCCCGTAACACCTGAGTTGGTGGGACATGCAATTCAGAGTTGATCTGGAAAAGAAAGAGTAAAGGTCATTACAGCTTCCCCAGGGCCCTCCTACTTCATGACCACTGGGGGTCAGGTGCATATGTCTGCTCTTCTGGGGGCTCCACACCTCGGCAAGCATGTCACCCCCAAGTGCTTCCTGGGAAAGCCCACAGCCCGCCTTCCTTCGGAAGAGAAGTCCTAAGGCTTCTTTGGTTCTGCTCCAGACAGCTAACCTCTGGAAACGATCTGAACCTTCTGCTCTGGGCCACGCTCTTACATCTTCCCTCTACTCCCAACCCCCCCCCCCCGCCACCTGCACACCCCATCCCCAGCCTAGCCCTGCCCTTCCTTCTTCCTCCCCACCCTCTTGTACGCAGTGGCATCAACGACAGCATGGACAGTCTAATAACTGTAACAGACCAACAAGCCATCGCAACGCCAAGGCTCATCCTCTGTTCAGGTGTGGCCTGGGGCCTGAGACCACGGCGGGGCCACACATCCCCAGTTCTCGGCCTTGTGGCTGGCCTCAGCCACCTCTCACACACACACGGCTGATGATGGAGGATGTACCCTCAGCCCAGAGTGTCACAGCCCTCCCTGCCCACGGCCTCAGTGACACATGAAGGACCCCATACTAGTAGAACAGAGCCAGCAACTGTGTTACGAATGGATGCCAAGCTTAGGAGCAGAGACGGTCACAGGGAAGTTGCCCCAAATATCAGTGGGGTGGGCGAGCGTGGGGGCCAAGGCCGACCTGCCCAGTTGGAGCCTCCTCTCACCGTGTCACACCCCAGGCCAGAGAACCCAGCCTGCCAGTGTGGGAAGAGCCCGGGGCTCTGCTCATCACAGAGCCTCCCAGTTTGATGGGAGAGTGATTTGTGCCCTGTCGACCTCACCAGGGGGTTGTTGAGACCAAAGAAGAAACTTCACAAGGAAGGGCTCTCTGGGCCGTGGAGCTCTCACGGGCTTGGGCCCTGCTTCCGAGATGCGTCGCACAAGCACCTGGCGCCAAAGACCATGGGCATCAAGAGGGCACTATCACAACCCATGTGTCCTGGAGGAGACTTCGGGCAGTGTTCACTCTCTTGCCCGATAATTCCGGGCCAACTTGAGGTGTGATGGTTGATATTTTATGGCACATCCCAAACCTCCCTGGCTTCTGGTGAGGGACGGGTCTCTATTTCCTAATATGGGCTCCAGTCCCGCTTCCTGCCATGGCCTCCTGCCCACCCTCCCTAGACGGCCCCCACCGCTCACCTTGGAATCTAGGTACTGCTGGAGCAGCCTCTGGAGCTCCGTGTTCTGCTGCTCCAGGGCGAGGTTTTCCATCAGCAGCTTGGCCCTCTGGGTCAGGACGAGGCTTTGGGTGGAAAAATCCAGTAGAGGCACATTGAACCCTCCATCCTCTACCAAGCAAGGGCCAGGATCTCTGTGTTTCTGTTCTGGTTGGAGCTGGGAGAGGGCCTCAGAAGCTCTACCCACCCGAGCGACCTTCCTGCCCTGAACACGCCAGGCTAGGAATAGAACAGGGAGCGCAGGGCCGGCCGCCCAACACCATATGAGCCCCCAGCAGGAGCCTTCCCTCCAAAGGCAGCTTTTCTCTCCAGGCCAGGGCGGTAGCAAATGTGGCCGCCGCAAGCAGATCCTTCCTCACCAACAGCCTGGTTCCCTCCTCCTCCTGGGCTGTGACATACGCACTTACTGGTATTTCTCCAAGGCTGTGTACAAAGCGTCCCAGAGGTTCTGCGTGGCGGGAGGGATAACCGTGGCCAGGGCCTCCCAATATGCAGAGTCGTTCGAGTTATCTCGCATGAACTTCACCAGCTTCACTGGTGCCGGAGAGTCCCTGGGGGTTAAGAGCAGCAGCACCATCACCTTCCACAGGCACACATGCCCCCCCCCCCCCAAGGCTCCCGTGCAGCGCCAGCCACGCATTGCCTGTCCCTCCCGGACTTTCTGCCTGTAAACCTGCCCCCTTCCCACTCAGCTGTGCAAGTCTGTCGGTTTACAGCAGATTCTCAGAAAGTGTACGTGTTTATGATCAGCGTTCCTGATTCTTGGTGCCATTGACAACTTTGTGAAAGCATCACTGGGGTTCTATCCACCCCCTTTCTCTCGGCCAGTCTACCTCATTGGCTTTACATCCCACTGCTCTGCCTGTTTCCTTTACGAATGCATCTAAAACAGCTCTCAAAATTCGGCATCCCCTCGAGGAGAGCCTTGATCCAGGATATCATGGTCTCCACTTCAACGAACCTTCTTGTTGCCCCCCTTGTATCCAGTGTCACCCCCCTCCCTGCCCCCAAAGGGATCTTTCTAAAATGCAAGCCTGATCATGGCTCCCCCACTACTTAAGACCATGTTCTGGCTCCGGTCCACTCAAGAGTAAAGGCAAAGACCTTGACCATGGCCGGTGAGGCTCTCCAAGCTCTGGTCTGCCTCCTCTACCCACCAGTCCCATTTCCCAAGACCCTGAGCCCCAGCCACACCTCTCTGTTGTGATTCTTGAACACACCAGGCCTTTCTCCACACTGTGACCCCCTGAAATGCCCTTTCCCCCACCAGATCCACCTAGGAAGATCCAGTTCTGATGCGTCTCTTCCTAAAGCCCTCTCTGACTGCCATATGTAACACCGGGTGTGGGCTCTGACCATGGTTCCGATCACAAGGTTCCAATCTCCACGGGCCTGACACAGTGCAGACCCCAGTGAATGACTGTGGAATGAATGACGAATGAGAAGATGCAAATCGCTTCTACACCCCTTCCTTTCATCCGTTTCCACCGAAGCCTCCAGCCCTCCCGGGTCCTTCCCCCCTGCCCAGCTGGCTTCCCTGGGCCTCGAGCAAACCCTGCATCACCACACCTGGGCTTCCTCAGACCCATGACAAAGGCCTCCAGAACCTTGAGGACTTCGTTGGGGTGGATGAGCGTGGAAGAAGGGGGGTCCTCCTTCTCTTCTGGCTCCCCTCCCACAAGGCTTCCCTCATGCTGTCTCTCGAGGTGTGTCTGCTCTCCTGGGTCCAGGGCCAACGTCAGGCTTGTTTGCTCCTGTGAGGGTGACAGATTCCAGGGGCTGATCCAGAGAAAGGCGCCAGGGTGACAATGGATTGGGGCGCACAACAAGCATTAGTGTATGAAGACAGAGAAAAAAACAGAAAAGTTTACAGAAAGTTATAGAACAGATGCAAAGGTAGATGTTTTCAGGAAGGGAGAAAGGGTGGGGGAAAGAGGGTGTATGGCATCAGGGAGAGGCGCATGGGGGCTTCCAAACAGTGATAATCTTCTATTTCTAGATTGGGATTCATAGGTGTCCACTTTATTGAAGTCCATAAAGCTTACGCTATATGTGTACATATATATTTTTGAATACATATTACACTTGAATTTTTAAAGAATTCTTCCTCCAACTCCTGTCTTGTAGTTTATTCAGTTCATCTCCCACAGGCAAACCGATCTCATCAGTTTCTTACCTATCTTCCCAAAGAAAGACTATGTCTGTACGGGCACACGCTTCCTCTCCTGTTTTGACATAAACAATACTCTATTATATATACAATTCTGCACATTGCGTTTTTCACATACCAATAAACCTCAGAGACCTTTTTGCATAAATACGTAAAGAATTTCTTTGTTCTTTTTTTTTTTAAATTGCATTAGTATTCTGTTGTGTAGATGCACCACTTTGTAGGTAATCAGTTCCTTCAAGATGGAATTGTAGGTCATTATCACTATTCTCCCATTTCCTGCAGTGCTGCAATGAATAAGCTACAAATAAACACATTCTTTCAAACGGAAGGGGATACATCTGCAGAAGGAAATCCTAGAAGAAGAATTGCAGGGTGAGTATGGTTCTGTAATTGGTGCCACCAAATGGCCCCCCACGGAGGTTCCAACAACTGACTCTCACAGCAGTGACTTCCGAGCGTGCCTGTCCCCCACGCTCGGCCATCACTCTGTGCTATCAGGCTTGTGGAGTCCTGCCAACCTGACAGGTGAAAATGGAATTGGGGCGATTTTAATTGGCACTTCTTTTATTACAAGAGGCCTGGTTATCTTTTCATATGTTTAAAAGTTACTTGTATTGTATTTGTTCGTATCCCTTGTCTTTTCCCTGGACTTGTTGCTGTCTTTTTCTGATTGGCTTTTATGAGTTCTTTGTATATTAAGGAAACTGACCCTTAAGTGCAATATAAGTTAAAAATATTTCCTCCCACGCCTGGGTGGCTCAGTCGGTTAAGCATCCGACTTCAGCTCAGGTCATGATCTCACGGCTCATGGGTTCAAGCCCCACATCAGGCTCTATGCTGACAGTACAGAGCCTGGAGCCTCCTTTGAATTCTCTGTCTCCCTCACTCTCTCTGCTCCTCCCCTGCTCACTCTCTGTTCTCTCTCTCTCTCTCTCTCAAAGATAAACAAACATTAAAAAAAATTTTTTTTTAAATTTCCTCCAGCTGTCATTTGTATCTTCACTTGGCTTACGGTGATTTTTGCCTTACAGGATTTTTTTTTTTAATGCCCATCAACTAGATTCTAGTTTTCCCTCTTTCTGGCTTCTGGGTTTTATTCACTCAGTCAACTCTTTTTCACTTTTCAATTCTTCTTTTGAATTAAGTTTATTTATTTTGAGAGAGAGAGCACACTTGCATGTGAGAGGGACAAAGGGAAGAGAGAGAATCTCAAGCAGGCTCTGAGCTGTCAGCATGGAGCCTGTTGGAGGGCTCAGTCCCACTAATCACAAGCTCATGACCTAAGCAGAAATCTGATGCCACCCCGCAGGCCCAGCCAACCCTTTTCCAGAAGCATTAGCAGGATACTCCCCCGGGGACCAAGAATACTAGAAGTAATTTTTAATCAAGTTTTAATTTTTAAATTAATTTTAATTTAATTTTTAAATTAAAACTTCATAATATTTTTTAACACGATGACTTCTTCAGAATAATCCATTACAATCAAGGTAGTTGTTACAAATGGGCTCTGTTTTGTGGGAAAGTGTTAAGAATCAAAATATCCAGAACTTGGAGGGCCCGGGGCTCAGAGTGGCTGAGGCCTGGCTTTGAGGAAGAGCCCAGGATAAGATGCCTCGGGCCTTAGTATGAGAACAGCCTCTCATCCCCAGCCATTCTTCCCACCGGCAAATACAAAAAGTAGCAATAATAAGGGAGACACTAAGTTAGCTATCTCTGACATAAAACCCTCACTACTTTTCCAGGAGTATTATTCAAAGACAACAAGGCCCTCTGGGGCTTCCAGAATTTCAAACGCTCTCTTTTTTATCGAACGTCACATTACCTGACTGGAGTGTAAATGATAAACTCGGTATTTGAGGAAGAAGTTCACCAGTTTATACAAGTCGTCCTCACTTTCAATTCCAAGGGCCTGGGGGGAAACAGGAGCACTGCTCAGACACCACAGCAAGAAGCCCACCGGCCGCTGCCGCAGCTCAGAGACCCTCAGCCCCTAAGAGCGGGAGGCTTGGCTTGTTCCCCTGAACCTCCCCCCGCACCTGCCATGGCCCAGAGTGAGGCCATTCAACACTGAGGCAGCACAGCGAGACCACGGCAGAAAAGAACAGCGCTCCGAGTCCGGGAGCGCTCCATACGGGCCTGGTGGGTACGAGGAGGCTAACGGAGGCTGAACACACATCCGAGTTTAAGGGTATAGGGGAGAACCTACAGTCTGAGAGCTGGGCCATGAGGGAGAGAAGCTGGTAGGAGAAGGGTCGGGGTGGGAGACATCTAAACTCCGCAGCCAACTTGTTGCATGGAGAATAAGGAAAGGGAAAGATGTGACAGCCCAGGGAAGCCCCGGAAGCCCCGTATCTACTCCCAGGATGGAGGAAATGTTGGGAAAGCACAGGGGGCTGTCATAGAATGAGCTTCCTCCCCACCGCCTGTCAACTCAGCCCGGTGGGACTCACTGAGAAGATGGCGTCCAACTTCAGCAGATAGGACTCGCTCTTCTCCAGGGGACGGAGAAGGCTCAGCAGCTTGCTCTCTATGAGGAAACCCTGAGAAGGAAGAGGACACCTCCCGTCAGAGACAGGGATGGGAAACCGGAGCGAGGGGCTGCAGCTTACTTCTGTGTAACCAGCCAGCGGTGGCTCCGCAGCGCAGGACCTCAGGGATGAGACTGGGCAGCAGGGCCCCCGGAGCAAAGCCTTCCTAGGAGGCCTAAGGACCCAATGCTCATCATGGAGTTAGCTCCCCCCTCCCGCCCAGAAAGGGTGCCGCCTCACCTCACCCACAAGCCACCGGGCAAATACCCGAGTTCCCCACAGCAGTCCAGACCTGATCGAGTCACAGATTCCCACCCATCCAGTGTCACTGCACTCCTATGCCAGCCCTCAGGTATCTATAGAACGGGGCAGCGGCACTGAGCCGGAGGAGGGGAGGGCACGGAGGCTGCTGGACACACCATGTCACAACACGGTGCGCATGGAATTGGGAGTGGATGGGAAGACTGGGTGCCCGGCATCCACTCAGCTGGGAACGCCTCGGGGAGGGCTCCTGGGAGGGGGGCCGCTGGCAGCAGGCCTGCAAATAGAGAGAGGAGACCCTGCCTGCCGTCCCTTTCGGCAGGAGCCCCCTCAGGGGCAAGAGCCAGCTCTTGGCCAAAGACAACTGTCCCAAGGGGACGGGAGGCTGCCAGCTCCTCTCAGAACTGCGGGACCTAAATGTGCACTGGTCACATCTGGTGACACCCCCACCCCAGCTGAACCAGCCCCGGCACACCCTTCACGCTAAATCTGGAAGGTTTGCTAGCATACAGAACAGGTAGCTAAAGCCTGACCCACCCAGGGTCATCGCAAGCTGAGTCCCAGAGAAAGGCCACGCCACTTGTGGCTGCGCTACTTGGCAGGTGGGTTCACAGAGGAGAGGCTGGCACCCCTTCTCTTGCAGAACAAGCTCTTTTTTTTTTTTTAATTAGCAGGGGCCTGTGGGCCGACCCACCAAGGGAGGACCCGTCTGCCAGCTGGGGCAGCTCTGAGGCATGGCCTCTCGGGTAAGGGACCCCAGCTGTGCTCCCGAATTCCCATGCACCCCTGCCTCCCGGCCACGTCCAGCCCGGCCAGGGCCGTCAGAAGCAGCACATGAGAAGCCAGAGCAGAAGGTCAGCAAAGCCACCGGCCAGGAGTCCCCCTGGTGCAGCCCCGTGTGGCCGGCCTCACCGACTCGTCACACAGAAGCATCAGGATCTTCCTGGTCGTTTTCATGGAAATTTGCTTTGGCAGGTCGAGGTAGGACTCTGCTTCTGAGGTGGCCTCTTCTGTCCCCTCCTCTTCTGCAGACAGGGCAGAGAGGAGATGGGGTGGGAGAGAAAAAGAAGATAGCTGCTTGGACTTGTGGACATTGAGAAACAGCTGAATGCCTTTCCTTGAGAAAATATACCTCTTAAAAAGCTAACGAAAGCCTGGTATGTGGGAAAACCAGGAAGGCTGGGGATTGGACTAAGAGACTCTCTGGAGAATTCTGCCATTCTATGATGCTTCACCTTCCCAAGTTCCAACCACCTGGAAACGTCATGTTCAAAACCCGGCCATGACCAGGGAGTGGAAGGGAGAGGATGAACCTATTTATTTTCACTTTAGAGATAAATCTAGCACATCTGCTATGTGGCCCCTAAACCCACGGCAGATCCGAAGTGGCCAAAGCAATGGTAGTCAGTGGTGGCCTCACTTATCAGCAAGAACTGGCAGCTGATGGCAAGAGCCAATATTTTCTTAATTAAAATTAGAAATTTAAAAATGTTTTCATACGGGGGCACCTGGGTGGCTCAGTTGATTAGGCATCCAACTTTGGCTCGGGTCGTGATCTCACAGTTCGTGGGCTTGAGCTGACAGCTCAGAGCCTGGAGCCTGCTTTGGATTCTGTGTCTCCCTCTCTCCTACCCTCCCCCACTCGCACTCTGTCTCTCTCTCTCAAAAATAAACATTAAAAAATGTTTAAGTGTACATAAGTAAAAACAAATTTATATATACATATTTGTTTTAAAAATCAATGGAAAGAGAAAACATACATTTTTAGAGAACTACCTTAGAAGAGGGATAAAATAGAACAGAGAGGATAAAACTACACTTCTTTGAGTATATCTCATTCTGTACCTTTGACTTTGAAAACATGTAAATATTCTATATAACTATAAAACAAAATTAAATTTCAAAAAGCAATCCCTAACTATCAAAAGTAAAACAAAACAAAAAGACCTAAATATGTATTCAGATGGTGACCTAACCAAATAGAGACTATTCTAAGTGACTTTAAGAGATGGCAATCTGTGGGGCACCTGGGTGTGTCAGAAGGACCCAGAAGCCAACGTGAAGAGACCCCTACTGGCCAAAGGTGGGACATTTCGAGCATCAGTAAGGATCATGAGTGCAATAAACCCAAACACATCAGATCTGTTTAAATCCAATACGTTCATAATGATACTTGTTTTATAAAATGTCATTGGCCACTTTTGGAAGATGCTAGAAACCCAACCCATTTATTTGGAAAGCTACTAAACAAAGAAAGGACAAGCATCTATTCTGTTTTTCCTGTATGAACTGTATCTCAGGGTAAGAAATAGCTGATGAGGAGAAGAGTCTCTTTTCAGAAGTATTCCAGCTAATATATGAAGACATATGACAGAATTTAGAATATCACCATTGTGCAAGCCCTAAGGCAATTAATGGCTCTTAGACAATGACTACCAATGGTTGCTATTTTCACAAAGAGAGAGACAACTTGACGTTAGTTTATCCCAATGGAGATACTCAACAGTATACTTAGCAAAACTACACTGACCCTGAATCTGATCGAGTTTCTAGATAGAACTACCAGATTATAATAGAGGGAAGAGGGTAAAGCCGTGGGTTAAATTAGAGACTCTGAACCTCCAGGCTACGAGACCCCTTCCCCTTCTCTGGACTTCAGTTTGCTTGTCTGTGAAATGAGTGGGTTGACCCGATGGTCTCAGAGCCCCACCCCCACCCCGGCTCTAGGACTCCAGGGCTCCATCCCAGTCACCTGTTTGCATCAGCACTTCCTCTAAAATCTGTGTTGCAGACCTCTGCTGCTGCTGAGATATAGGTCCCACGTTCCCCAGGAACCAGAAGTCAGGTGCCGTCCAGGGGAGCCCCAGATGTTGGGTGTGGATGATCCTATCCACATCGAAGGCTCTGCTTATCAGATCCTTTGCCTCCTCTTCATTCATCAGCCAAATCTCTCGAAACCGCTTGTCATCAATGAGAGCAAAATGCCTGTGAAGGAGAGTGGCTCAGCATGACCAACGGACCCCAGGGCCTGGCCAGGGTGCCCTCAGTTGGCATTAGGGCAAGAACTGAGGCAGAGCTGGGGTACATCCAGGGCCTGGGGTGCTAGCCTCACCTGTGATAGCCTGGAGGCCGTCCCCACAAGGCTCAAGAAGGGGCGGGTGTCAAGCAGCAGGGTGTCAAGTGGGCAGGGAAGACAGCCCACTAAGACCCTTCGTGCCTGGGCCCACCTCTGTTCTAGGGCACGTGCCGTGGGACCCAGGTCCCTCAGGTACCTCATGGCTTTCTGTAGCTCCTTGAACTGCGTCACAAGGCGTTTGTAGTCCGAGGTTAGTGACTGGTTCTCCTCCTGAAACTGCCTGATCTGCTTGGTGTATTTTGCTCTCAGATTGTTAAGTACATCATGCAGGCTAGGAGGACGGAGAGAGGCTCATCAGTAGCTGGGCAGAAGCCGTGTTGTACCTTCCTCTCAGCTACCTCCCGCAGTTCTGCAGAACCCAGGGCCAGATTTGTGCAAGGGCCAAAACCCCTCCCATTGGTTCCAAAACCCAGCTGCCCTGTTGGCGATCGAGGAGAGGCAGGCAGCAGGAGGTAAGGGGACTGTCCAGAACTAAACTCGTTTAGAACAGTCCAGAAGCCCAGACCCACTGAGGGGCAGTCTCCTGCTTGGGAGTGTGACTGAATCCTCAACATGCCATCTGGGAGTGTGTTCGCATCCAGGGCCAGCCTCACATTATTTAACTAGCATATCTCAATGATTCCACTGCCATGGTTTGGATGTTCATTTCACTTCTAAAACAAGGAAACTAGAAAGGAAAAAATTAAAACCTCGCACCATAAGTCTATGATATATGCGTCCTCCATCCTCAAAAAGCTGACCTGGCTCACAAGTCCAATAACTCATTCATTCATTCACTTGAGAGATCTCTCGTGTACCAAGATATGTTTGAATCGAAAGATGAATACAAGGATACGTCTGGACTGAGGGCACAATCTGCCCAGCCAGAGAGGAAGACAAACACTCATCACGGTAGAGTGAAAGCGTTGTGGGGGTGGCTTACAAAGGATGCCAGGGGAGCCAAGGGGTGAGGAGGCAGGAACTTACCCTGGCCTCAGTGACAGAAGATTCCAGCACAGTGAGACACAGTGATGCCTGGTAAAGGGCACTACGAGTCCAGGCATCTCCACATCTCACTGCTCTGGGAGTTCTGTGTGCGGAAACTATGAAATACGCATGGCAGGCACGACTTTTAGACCCAAGGCCATTCTTCAGACTTTAGACCAGTGATGAGGTATCTTACATCAGCGTCCCGTTTACACTGGAATAGGGAGTCTGAAGGCCTATGTGCTTTCAGTTTAAAAATCCTAAAAATAAAATTTTCCCTCTTAAGCATCATTCTGAAATAATCATAAGCTCCCTAAACATACAAACATCCATCCTTTGTGTTTTCATCCTCAATAAAATGCAAAAGCAACTTAACTTGGACTCTGATAAAAAGCAGTATCTGGTTCATTTTCTTAACTACAGCATTCTAGGAGACGAACCACGTATAGGTGTAAAAAAAAAAAATGTCTTTAAGTAGCCATCCCAAAGTCTTTTTCCCAATGTCACCTGGTAAAGGAGTTTCTATGTGTCATCTAAACACAGAAGCTCATAAAACCAAAATACAACTCCAGGTGCACACTGCACGTCTGGGCAAGACAGGGGACGGACAGGAAGGGATGGCCACGGGGCTGAAGAAACTCAACAAAACATCACGTCACATCCTTAGTGACTGGCTGGAAGCCAGGGATGGAGGGGAGAGGGGTGGAGGATGGGAAAACCAGGAAGGTAGGCAAGCTTGGTTTCAAAACACGTCCACTGGCCTTGACAGCAACTCTCCAAGCCGAACTGGTTCTTGGCAGTCCCGATGAAGTGAGGAGGCGGGGTGGGGAGCGGGGAGGTGAAGCTGGAATCATCAGGAAAGAAGTCCTACTCAAAGCCGCGAGACTGGTATAGAGGGTGGAGGGGATACAATGATACAGCAAAAGGGGCAGGATGCTTTCTGGAATATCTTATCAGGCAAGAAAAAACAGAACCACCAAAGGAAACCAATTAGGAATCCACTGAGACAGAAGAGCAGATATTTTAGTCATAAAAGCCAAAAGGCGAAAAAGGGCCCTCAAGAAGGGCCACAGCGTTTGGCCAGAAGGACATTGTTGGTAACCTACAGGGGGAGGTTGTCCAGCTCTGGGTCAGAGGTCAAATTGTGAGTGTTGGAGGTGGTGGGGAGGAACATGGAGGGGCGGGGACAGCAAGAAGAGAAAGCGTTAGCATGCACACCCGAGCAGCAAGGTCTGCTGATGAGGGAAACGCCAGGCTCCAAATCAGAGGGCAGAACCAGGGAAGGGATGGCGAGGATGATGCCACTCATCCTTCTGCCCTTCGGATCCAAACCAAGGTCTGCCTCACGTACCTCCGCCCACCTCCCGACCCACCAACCTCCCCTCTCCTACGATGCAGGCTCTTTCACCAAACATGGAACTTTCTGACTCCTACTTCCTTGCCTTCAGACCTTCATTCCTGCCTCTGGCACCATCTACTCCAGAGGCTTAACTCCTTTTTACCAATTCACATCCCTCTCCCCTTCACTGTTTCACTACTTCAGGAAGCCATCCCAGAGAACTTTTTCTCACTGACTCTACAGATTAGTGGTCATCATAGATGGATGGAGAGACGGAGAGAGAGAGAAAGAGAGAGAGAGAGGAGAGATCCAGAGAGATATACACTATACACTTAATCCCTGGTGGTAGGAATATACTGTTTTATGTTTTCATCTTACTTTCACTTAGGTTATTTCCTAATTCTCTAAGATGCACACGTACCACTTCTGTAATAACAAGTTGAGAAGGTATTCTACGGATAGCTCTGTGCATATGCAACGTGAGACACCACATGAGGACCTATGTCGGTATTACTTGCAACAGCAAAGGATTAGAAGCAATCTAGACATCCAGCCACAGGGTCATTAAATCACAGTATGTGCAAGTGGAGGTTAGGCAACCTAAGAAATAATGTGAGAGCTCTCTATGAACTGGTACGGAAACATCATCAAGACACAAAACCGTGTGTATAGAAGGCTATCATTTGGTTTACAAACAGAGGGGGCCGGTGAGAAGATTTATCCGTGTTTGCTTGTATGTGGTCAAAGAAATTCTGGAAGAAACAAGGAGGTGGGAAAGAGGGACCACACAAAGTGGAGGATCAGAGACGGACTTTTTGCTGTACATTCTTTCTAGGGGGGGTCGGGGAGCAGTTGAAATATTATCTTTTCAAAAAAAAAAAAACACAGAAAACAAAAATCTCTCTTAATTAAGAATTAGCTAAATCTGTAACAGCTTCCACTCCTCCAGAAGGGAAGGTTTCATCCCCATCTCCGTCCTCAGCATGGAAGGGTCGATGATCTTCATGCTCGCTCACCGATTGATTTTCCTTTTCTGTTGGGACTTAATCACCGTGCTCTCTTCATCTCTCTTCTTCAGCACTTGGAAGTTGTACTCCAACTTCTCTTGGTTTAGCTGGTAAGTTGCTTTCATCTGCTGGAGCTGCTGCTCAAGAATCTAAAGGTTAAAGAAAATAACAATACCGACTGGCCTTGGTATCATCTGCTGTGCCCGAGGGTCCCTGATACTTTATTCTGGAGCCACGTCAGAGGAAAGATAGGCACAAGAGCATCTACCTGAATTCTTAGGAAATCTGTCAGTAGAGGAAAGTCCAGAAAGAAAAAAAATACATCATTCAACTGCAAGCCCAAGCCGATGTCCTGAAAGCCTGAGATGACAGAGCCTTCACAGCGGGCCCCTCCCCTGCTGCACCAGACCTCTGGAGATACACGCCACCCACTAAAAGCACCATACAAGGGAATATTGCCACAGAAGCTTGCAACAGCCCCACTCTGACCTCCAACTGGCAGTGTTCGTGTTTAGCAAACAGTGTTCCTTTTAAAGGAGGCTAAACACAACCATCCCTTCTTTCTGGATTTCCCTTAGCTGTATTCATTCATTCAGCAAATATTTGAGTGCCTGATAAAGGTCGACACTTGTCCAGATGCTGCTGAGAAAACGCTGGTGGAAAAGGCATAGTCGTGCCTTATCTAGGGGACATCAGCAAGCAGCGGTGACAGGAAGTAAGAGGGAGGTGGGCGCAGGGCGGCATGGGACTCTCCGTGGCCTCGAAGGCCATCCCCGAATGGTTGGCACAAGCGTGTCTAACCAGGACCCGGAAAATGAGTAGGCGTTTCTCAGGTGGACACTCGAGGGGACATGTCTCCAGAGAGGCAAGGGGACGGAGGTGCTTTGGGGAAATCACGAGCAGGTTAGGGTGTGAGGTACGAGGCTGGGAATGGTCAGAAAAGAGGCTGACAGAGCAGCAGGGTCGTATCAAGCAAGGACTTTAAAGTTTTATCCTGAGAACCACAGAAGGCCACTGAAGTTCTCAAGCAGGAAAGTAGAGTGACCAGTCCGGGGAGGATAGAAAGGTCACTTTGTTGGTTAAAAAAACAAAAACAAGCAAAAACTGCCGAGAGCAGGGCAAGGCTAGAGGCAGGGCAAATACTGGCAAGCTCGAGCCTGCCTCTCCGGAGCAGAAATGCAGAAGAACAGAGGGTGCAATGAAGTGTAATCTGATCTTGACAAAGCTGGGACATGGGACATGTGGTGCTCTCTCAAGCCTCCTCCTCCCTCATCTCCCGCCACAGGGCTACCGAGCCAAGGGATCAACATGGGAAGTGACTGGAGCGCCCGGGTGACTCAGTCAGTTCAGCATCGGACTCTTTGATTTTGGCTCAGGTCATGACCTCACAGTTGTGAGATGGAGCCCCAGGTCAGGCTCCGTGCTGAGCGTGGAGCCTGCTTGAGATTCTCTCTCTCCCTCTCTCTTTTTCCTCCTTCCCTGCTTGCACTCTCTCCCTCGCTAAATAAATACGTAACATTTTTAAAAACCCATAGGAGTGATTCCAGGCAGCTCCTCCTGCACCCCTAGGTCATCCTCAAGGAGGGTGATGCAGCAGGAGGTGATACAGCAAACAAAGGTACTGATCCTTGATTGTAAACACTGATCCCTGTTGTAAACCAGAGAATTAAGCCCGAGTATCCAAATATTTACCTGCCCCAGGGAGCTCTAAATCTCCATCATGCGGCCGGTGTTGGGATGTCTTTTCAGAATAGAAGGCTGCAATATCTAGCACAGTGGCCAGTGAACATACAGGTCACTGGGATTATAACGAACTGTACCTCTCAATTTCCATACTGGCTCAGACGACTTTTTATTTACTGTTTTCGAACTGTATGCTTTTCTGTATAAAAAGTTTTCCCTACTGTGAAAGTAATACTTGCTCATTGTAGAAAATGTGGAAAGTACAGGAAAGGAGAAGGAAGGAGAGGACATAGAAGGGGAGGAAAAATTTTACCCAAATTCCATCTCAAAGAGGCATCTTCTGTTAACATATCACATGTTTCTTTCCAGCGTTCTTTATAGAGCTGAGATCAAACCTACAGTTTTATATTCTACGTTTCTCCCTTAATATTATAACAAGAATTTTCCATGTAGTTTTATCAATGTTATTTTAATGGTGCATAATATTGTTCTATACTATGACAATGTATCACATACTAAATACTTCCCAAGTTTATCATATACCGTACTATTTTACCATTTCCCCACTGTTGTACATTTAGGTTGTTTTAATAATTCCCGGTGGTATAAAAATAATGCTGGGAACGATTCTATTTAAAACTTTGTGGGTATTTTGTTTATTTTCTTAAGGTAGATTCTCAGAAGTAGAATTACTAGGTCAAAGGCTCTTAACAAATTACGTTCCAAAGAGGGTCTCCAGCCTGTCCTCCCACTGGCCGTGTGTGCAGGTACCTGCTTCTGCCCACCCCGTGGGTACTGCGCACGGCGCAGGGCGGCCGTGAGGCTCGAGCACAGGCCCTCAGCCCTCGGGTAGGCCGCTGGGTGGGGCAGGAGCAGGCAGGAGCGGGCCCTGGACTCTTCCTAAGCGTGATGAAAATTTAAGTTCAAAATTTTTGACGTGAACAATTTCCTGAAGGGACTATGACACTGACAGTACAGAAACTGCCTCATTTCAAATGCATTTATCCGATTATCCTGGGTGGTCCCGGGCTGAATCTCTCGGCCCTGTGCCCTTCTAGGGATGGTCCTCTGCGTCTTCAAGAGACAGGGACTCTCGGCGCCTCTTCCCGCAAACTCGCAATGATCTATGCCCCCGGGCTCGGAGTGTAGCCAGCGCCATTGCTTCAAACGTGATCAGCCCTGAACACCGGCAAGGCCACTGGCCTATGAGCTGGCTCAGTACAAAGTCCAACAGAAAAGCTTCCTATTGGGTGCAGATACCCTGGGAAGGATTGAACAGTGGCAGAGCCGTTCTGACCTGGAATGACAATGAATGGCTGTTCAGTCTTGACTGACACGTCAGGAACCCTGAGACACCAGAGTGCCCTGGTGTTTGCGCTCATGGCATCCAGGGACCTCCTTTTGCTTGTAGCTTTGCAATAAGCCTTTATCACAAACACACACGTCCCAAAATTATTTGGCCATAGAATGGTTTTTATATTTTTAACAAAGTGAGAGCAGGAGAGTTACAGATGCAAGCTTTATCACGTGAACGTTCACGTAAATTTTACTCTTGAAGGCAGATAATTAGATAATACCAAGAAAATGGTCGCTGTAGTTTTGCTACATGATACACGTGGGAAGAGAAAAAAAAATCACTGGCTCGCTTTCTTTGTTAGCTTTATAAAACTGCCACCAGTACCTCGAATAGCTGAGCACAGTTCAGGTTCAAAACTTGGAACTAAAAGTGATCCGGCCATGCCTTTTCCTCTGTGACCTGAAAGAACTCACCTCTGCTCTGATTTTACAGGCAAAACAACAAAGAAATCCTGTCACCTGACTGTTTTAATTTGCATTTCTTTGCTTGAGCTTGTGGTTAAATATTTATTAGCTGATTTTCTTTTCTCTCGTGGAGCACATCAACGCCTGCTCTTCACTATGCTCTGTCCCTAGGAGATGAGTGCCTAGAAGGACAGCAAGGCAACAGGCACTGTGAGCTTATCATCTCTACTGGCTTGCAGACCAGCCACTCCGTCCCCCCAGCTCGGGTCCAGACCTCTGCCGGCCCCACAGTCATGATGCCACATGGGAGTGATCGGCAATGCTGGCAATGAACTTTCAGAACTAACAGTCTTATAGTCTCACAGCACAGCATCTACAGCAGGTGGTTACATAAATGACATCACCCATTCCTTGTTTTCAACACCTTCTGCTCAAGATAATTTTGATACCGGTGACTCTATTGTTAATTATGTCAGGTTTCAGTCTCCACATAAGGCTGTCCTGTCACATAAATTATCGTAGAGCCAAAATAACTTAAGAAAGCTGAACGATGGCCATTATTATACACGGGTAATGCACACGGCCCACACTGACAGCACTGCTCTCATGGACCTCCCTGTTCTTTGTCATTGAATCACGTCCATGACGTTGATAATGAGAAAGACCCAGGAAAATTTGCAAGGTTTGTAGGAATATTTGTAGTCCGGTGGGGTGTTGATTCAATCCTGCTAGATAAAGCCACAAGAGTAGTAAGACCGGAAATTCTACCAAAGGCCACGTGCAAAAGCTTTAGTCTAACACGTTTTTCAAGATAGAAATTCCACTGAATAGACCGTGCTTAAATATTAGGAGGTAATTACATCACACCTAAATGTAATTAGAGTGAGCTTTTTTTTTTTTTTAACTAACTTTAAAGCACAGAATCCTAGGCTTAGAAAGAACTTCAGAAACCAGAAAATGTAACCTCCTTCTGTTGTGCCCGAATCGCGAGTCCCAGAGACCTCCAAGGAGCCGGCACCGATGCAAGTACAAAAGGGTCTTTATTACAGACTCGAGCAGGGGCTCACCAGCCTACCGGTGTCGGGGCAGCAAGGTGAAGTGAAGAACAATAGCGAACAGGGTTTTTAAGGAGTAAGGGATGGGGGTGTTACAGTACATGTAGCATCATCACATAAGCACCAATTACAATTACAGCTTTGACCATTCAGTATCTGTGGGGTGTTCATTACTTTTGGTGGAACCCAATCATGACTTTTGAGAATCCTTTGAAAATGACCAATTATGAGGTGAGTTCAAAGGGCCCACATGGGGTTCAGGCAAGCAGTGAGAAATTGGCTAGTTTGTATCTGCAGTTCCCAGCCTTGACTCAGACCATAGGAATGTTTCTTTTTACTTTTTGATTAGCTGAACTGAGGGCGGTCTGAGGATGGCTTTAGCCTTGAACAGTCTGAAGCTTTTTCTGGGACTGGGACTCGGGCTACGTGCAGCCCGAGGTTTCTCTTAATGGAGGACTTAATTTTTGGCTCTTCACTTCCAACTGCAAGAATCCTTCCTCAGCCTTGAAGACAGACACAGTCATGCGGCCTTTAAATATTTTATGAGAGAAAAGACTCCTTGTTTTGTGGGATGACCCTTTCTATATTCAATAGTTTTATTAGAAATTCTTTCTGTTTTAAATGTTTCTTTTAATGTTTATTTATTTTTGAGAGAGAGAGAGACAGAGCTCAGAGTGGGGGAGGGGCAGAGAGAGAGGGAGACACAGAATCGGAAGCAGGCTCCAGGCTCTGGAGCTGTCAACACAGAGCCCCATGCAGGGATCGAACCCACAGACTGTTAGATCATGACCTGAGCCAAAGTCGGAAGCTTAACTGACTGAGCCAGCCAGGTGCCCCTAGAAAGTTCTTTCTGATGGCAAGTCAAAATCTGCCCCACTGCAAGGTCCACCTATCAGCCAGGGGCTGTTTGGAATATTGGGGACATTATTGGTTACTGAGCCAGACAGAGTTGGGTTTGAATCCAGGACCAACCATTTACTAGGTAAGTAGCCTTGTCTCTGAGCCTATTTCTTGGCATATAAAACACTGTGATTCCTCCCTTGCATGTGAGTGTGAGGACCGGAGGTACTGTGCCTTAAGTGCCGAAAGACACTCAGATGGTGGCTGCGGATAAACTTCCCCGGGGGATACCTTCCCTTTGCTCAGCTAAAATGCACAATCCTCTCAGCAGCTCCTCAGGTCATGGTTGCCAGTTTTGCCTCTTGGCAGCTCCCCATGGTTCATTAAAGAAAGAATTCCTCCACATACATTCTGCCCATGAACTCCTTCAGATATGATTGCTTGTAAGAGAGCAGATAATGCATACCTATCGATGGAACGGATTAACTCTAGAACACTCAGGGCGGTCACCAAGGATAAAACATGCACAGGTGCTCCGTCTGCTCTGCCACCCAGACGCCGAGCAACAAGTCAGACCTGCACGTCCTGCTCCAACTTGATCTTGATCTTGTTGTACTCCTCACTGTCCCACACCCGCTGCTTGTTCAGTTGCTTCTCGTAGTCCTCTGCCTTCTTGATGCGGTTCAGAAGATACTCTAGCTGAAGGTACAGGAAGACAAGGGAGAAGTCAGCCCTGTCCCTGCCCCCACGCAGGGGACCTGACAAGAGTGACACAGGGAAGGATCTCAAAGTGTCATGACCCTGGAGGGAGCTGGTCGTCCCTCAGAAGCTCCACTGCCCCCAAAGCTGTGTACTGTTTAACTTTCTCTGGAGCTTCCTTACTTGAGAAACTCCAAGAGGAATGTTCCGTTAAGAAATCAGACAGAAGGGGGGGCCTGGGTGGCTCAATCTGTAAAGCATCTGACTTGAGCTCAGGTCATGATCTCTCAGTTTGTGAGTCGGAGCCCCATGTCGGGCTCTGTGCTGACAGCTCGGAGCCTGCAGCCTGCTTTAGGTTCTGTGTATGTCTCTCTCTCTGCCCTTCCTCCACTCATGCTCTGTCTCTCTCTCTCTCTCAAAAATAAATAAACATGTAAAACAATATTTTTTAATAGAAATCAGACACAGACCCTGCAGTCGGAAATTTTGTATTTCTCAAAAAAAGGCCCAATGGAGCCATATCAAGCTAATTCTTTGTTCTTTGAGTCTTTGAAGTAAAGTGATAACCCCACACCCTTTAAAATATCTTAAAACATCTTGTTGGGCCACAAATATCCGTGGCTAGAGTAGACGCCCAAGTTGAAAAGAAGAGAGCCACAAAACCATGGTATTCACCACCACCAGAGACAAATGTCCCCAACAGAAGCACCCACAGTCCGAGGGCCACACTGATTAACCAGGAATGGCAGTGGTAAATGTCTGCCATGGCAATTCCCCCACGAGAAAAAAAAGGCTAGCAAATTCAGTCACAGTAGAAATTGCCCCAGGCCCCATGGTCGCCCTTGACACGTCTGCCAGCCCTTCCCCTACCCACCGCCCCTTTACCTCTTTGGCTTTGTGAGCCTGCAGGGCCCGCTCCCAGATCTTCTTATTACTGGTCAGCAGCTCTTGTCGCTCCATCTCAAATGCTTTCTACGACCAAGAAGGAAGAGGCCCTGATGTCTGTGTTGATCAGGCAGAGACCACAGCATTACAGAACTCGTAAGTAACGGCACGTGTGCCATGCATCAACCACATGGTCCAAGTCAGAGCCAAAGGCAGACTTGCCAAATTTCATGGAGCCAAATGGCCATAGAAGGAGTTGCATGTTAATCAGTGTTATGAACTCTGGGCTTCACACAAATCTAGGGAGGAAATGTACCACCTGTCCTGTGGCTCAGTCAGTCTCAGAGGAGGGGGCTGGAGGAAGGGCCGTGCCCTTGGTGACAGTCACAGGGCAAACCCTGGCATACAACGCAGTCACGCCCAGGGTTGCTGCATCGCTACAGCTGGCATCCCCAGGAAACAAAGGGGCATGTTGCTCACAAGGAGCAGGCCTGGGAATGCAGAAACGGGTCTATAATAATCCAAAGAGAGAAGTCCCCGCCCTCTTGGCTCTCTTCCATTTTGGAAGGTTTGTCTCAATCTCAATCCTTAATGTGTCCTTCAGATTCAGAGTATTGATTCCTGAACCTGTGTGACCCTCTGCTTTCCCATGCCCCACCCCTGGCTGCCACAAATACAGCAAACAGCTCATATAAGCCCCTCCTCCATGCTTCTTACCCTTACATGTTTTATTTTCTTTCAAAGCACTTAGCTCCACCTCTCCAAGTATATATTTAGTGGTCTATCTGTTTATTGACTAGCTGTCTTCTACTAGAATATGGATTCCATCGAGAACTTTGTTTTGTTCATGGCTGTATCTCCAGGCCCTGGTCCAGGGCCTGGCACATAGGAGCCACTTGATGAATATTTGTTGGATGAGTGAATGACTGGGTAAATCAATTAAGGGGCAGAAAGCAGAGGCCCCTCCCAGATGTCCTGGACATCCCAGATAGACCCAGCCCTCCTAGAAGGCAGTTCTTTCACACCCTGTTACCTCAATGTAATTGAGCTCTTGGCGGAAAGTTGTCATCACGTTCTTCACTTGGTCTTCCATCCTCTCTAGGAGCAGGCAGATGTCATCTGACTGTTTCTTCAAATCCTTCACATACTGGTCATCTTTTGTTTTTAACTCCTAGAAAAGAGCATGTCAAAGGTTGGTCACCAAGTGAGACAAAAGCAAGGAGTGCCAAGCACACTCCACCTGGAGCTCTCTCTTCAATATCTGTGAGTACTAGGAATCGCAAAGCAAAAGTGACTTCAGGAGAATCTGAGGACTCCCTGGAGAAGTCACTGGCGGGTGGAGCAGAGTGGCCTCAGCTCGGGGAAAGCTTGGATGAGCAGCACGGGATCAAACCGTCCATGACCACTTGCTGCAAATCTCTCTGTAAGCTTCCAGAGCGCTAAGGCTTCCCAGCTGAGCCATGAACACCCGGACTTCAGCACAGGAACACAGTTCCTGCAGACTAAGCTGCATTCCTTAACTGGAAAGATGAAATCTGAAAAAGCATTTGCTATGAACGCACGTCTTTCGAAGGCCATCAGTAATTCTAAACTTACTAAAAAGCTTTTCCTTCTGGCTGAGTTTGTTGCCTAAGGTGTGCAATCATCTGAGTAATGAAGTAAGGCCTCTGTTCACGAAGGGCAAACCAATAAGCCAGTTATTTCCTGCAACCAGAGCCCACATGGCTGGAGGCGAAGGGCCCCGGGCCCTTGCCTGCTGCAACTCGCTGATAAGCTTGTTCTTGTCTTCTATCAGCCCAGCGCAGTGCGCCTGCTGGGTGTTGAGTATGTCCCACAGGTCCTGGGGGATTCGCTTCTTTTTGCCTTGCTCCCACTTCACAGTGATTTCATCAAATTTGTCCTGGCTCGTCTTGACTTCGTTCTCCAGCTTTTCAAGTCTGCAAAATACAAACACGCCCACGCGGCCAGCCCAGCTCTGGGTCCTGCCTCCCGCCTGGGCAGACAGGTGCTCAAGAGTCTGTAATACGAGGCCTGGGTACCAAGCACTCCCTCCAGATACCCTCACTCACAATCAAACTAGGCTGCGAGAAATCTCCTTGTAGTTTAATGCTTGACTATCAGTAAGAGATCAAATAGACAAAGTGGCACATAACGAAAACAGACCGTCTTTAAAGCTATACCTATTTACACACACACACACACACACACATGCACGCACACATGCAGATCAGGAGTCACTTTGCCACATCCTTCTGTGACACACGCACTTGATCTCCAGAGTCATACAGTTTGTGTTCAAGGCCTGACTTTGCTACTGACTGACTGTCAACTTTAGACAAGTCACTTAACCTCTTTCAAGCTGCATTTTTCTCATCTGTGAAATGGGGAAGATGAAATCATCTAGCTCCACATGGCTGGTATGGGCATTAAGTGAGGTTGTGCTCAGCACAATAGTCCCTTAATGAATGGTACTCATGTTATTATTTTTGATTATCAACATGACCTCAGGTGTCTGGCCATACCTCTCCTAAATTATTTTAAAAAAATTTTTTTAATGTTTATTTATTTTTGAGAGACAGAGAGAGACAGGGTACAAGTGGGGAAGGGGCAGAGAGAGAAGGAGAACCAGAATATGAAGCTGGATCCAGGCTCTGTCCAGGCTCTGAGCTGTTGGCACAGAGCCTGACACGGGGCCGAACTCATGAACTGTGAGATCATGACCTGAGCCAAAGTCAGGCGCTTAACTGACTGGGCCACCCAGGCGCCTCTCCTCTCCCAAATTATTAAGAAATGACTGGTGTAACACATAAACAGGGAAACTCCACAATCAGCAGTGGAGAATAGGGAAGGCCTTTCCAGAAATTCCAAAGAGACTCTGTGATGGACTACACTGAGGATGGGACCAGACTGAAGGAAGGCGTGAAGGCTGAGAGGCGAGTCCCCTCCTGAGAATGGATGCGAGGACAGATGCAGAGACTCTCTCTACCTTCACACACTGTGATGCTATGAAACTGTGTCCAAACAACAGTACAAACCCCTGAAGGACAGGAATCACCACTGAACCCTTTTGTGCTCCCCTCTCTCCTTCCCTCTGAGCTAGAGCACACAGTACATGTTATAGTGCACTTGACTTTTTTCCTCAGAAAATGAAAAAGAGCCAGGACATCTTTCTAAAACCCATATTTATCCTGTAACTCTGCCACTTAAGACCTTCAGTTGTTCTGGGACACCGAGGTAGTTCAGTCAGTTAAACATCTGACTTTGGCTCAGGTCATTGTCTCACAGTTCACGAGCTCAACCTGGGCTCTGTGCTAATGGCTCAGAGCCTGGAGCCTGCTTCAGATTCTGTGTCTTCCTCTCTCTCTGCTCCTCCCCCTCTTGTACTCTGTCTCTCTCTGTCTCTCAAAAATAAGTAAACAATAAAAAATATTTTTTAAAAAAGGCCTTCAGTTTTTTCTCAGTGGTTACAGATCAAAGCCTAACTCCTTGACATGGCTGGGAATCAACCAAGTCAGTTCTGGACACAGCCCATGAGAGGCAGAGGGAAGTTGCAAAAATAAAGTCACCCACCGTATACTGGTAAAGCCAGTCAAGTTGCTTAATGGAATTCCTTATGCTGAACAACTAAAGATCTTGTTAAGATCATACTGTGTATGTACACGTGGACATGAGCTGCAATGGTCCAGTGGGAAAAGAGGAAGAAGGGAGGAAAGGAAAGGAAAGGAAAGGAAAGGAAAGGAAAGGAAAGGAAAGGAAGGAGGGAGGGAGAGAGGGAGGGAGAGAGGAAGGGAAAGGAAGGAAGGAAAGAAGGAAGGAAGGAAGGAAGGAAGGAAGGAAGGAAGGAAGGAAGGAAGGAAAGGAGGGAGGGAGGAAAGGAAAGAAGGAAGGAAGGAAAGGAGGAAGGGATTCCAAGTGGCAATAAGAGAATTCTACTAGACTGTTAGACACAGCCACTTTCCCACAACTGGGGAGAATTTGGGGACCTGCAGAGGAGATGTCCTCATGTCCCCAAGCCGCAGGGGTTCCTCACCTCTGACGCTTTATCTCCTCTTCTTCCACTCTCCTGTGGATCTCTCTAATATCTGTAGCTACCTGGATATTTGTCACCAACTCAGTGCCACAGAGCAACAGTTTAGCCAATTTCTGAAAACAAGAATTTATGAAGTTAGAAACATTTTGCACAACTGTCTGTAGCTGTCCCATGCAGTCAAGCAGGAATCAAAAGCTACCTTAAGACCCTTAAGAGTAGCATCTATGTGGCAATCCATTTCCATCAGGACGTTTGGGGTGTGGTGTCAGAGCTCACAATTTCAGAGCACATGTGATTCTGAAGGCACTGCTGTTTATTTTCGTGCAGACCGGCCAACCCGCACACCGGCAGGCCCCTTAGGTACATCTCAGCACCTGCCCCAGTAGACCTCCGAGTGATTGACATGGCTGGGGGTCTTCCGGAGAATTCGGCAGGAGAGGTGAGCCAGGAAATGGCAGGCATCCTCCGACATCCTTTCCCCCTCCTCTTCTTTGAGTAACAGAACCCCTGATGTTAGCTGGACATTTGACCTCCCAAAATGGATACACTTCCCAACCTCCTTTGCAGCTAGAATACAGTGTGATCAACAGAACATGAGCAGAAGGAGAAGTGATGTGTGAAACTTCTGAATCGTGCGTTGAAAGGAAGAGGTATGCCCTCTGCTGCCCCGTTCCCCCTTCTCCCGAGCTGGTGTGTGGTGCTTGATACAGTGCAATGAGCAGATGAAAGCAAAAAAGGACAGGCAGAAGGAGATGAGATCCTAATATCGAGGAGCCTCCATGTCAGCCCTGGACAATGTACTTATGCCCCGAACTATTAAGTAAGCCAAGGGAATAACCTCCATGTTTAAGCTCACATCACGTGGGATGTTCTGAGAGGCCCTAATACGGGAGAGAACTGCCGCTGGCTGCCCCACCATCTCCAATAATGGCTCAGGACTTTTGCTATTCGTATCCCCTTTCTAAATCCCTCTTTGAATTCCACATTCCGTGTCTTTACTCCTGGCCTTTAGGTGATCACATGCTTTCATAAACAAGTTCAGGCATCCTTAGGCTATGCCTGGGTGTTTCCAAGTCTGTTTTGGAATTTACAAGTTCTCCAGCTCTCAACTCATTTCTGTTTTAAAAAAATTTTTTTTAATGTTTTATATATTTCTGAGAGAGAGAGAGAGAGTAGGGGAGGGTCAGAGAGAGAAGGAGACACAGAATCTGAAACAGGCTCCAGGCTCTGAGCTAGCTGTCAGCACAGAGCCTGACGCGGGGCTCGAACCCACAAACTGTGAGATCATGACCTGAGCTGAAGTCAGACGCTTAACTGACGGAGCCCCCCAGGCGCCCCTCTCAACTCATTTCTCAATAAGAACTATACATATCATCATACAAAGGAGTCATTGAGATGATCAGAGGTTCTATTTCATCTGGTCCTTCTAAAGACATTTAGAAATGCAGTTTTATTGAATACAGAATGAAGTCTTCACCTAGATATCCGGAGTACTCCAGACGTTTTTTTTTAAATGGCTGCAGTTTTATCACTTGTAACAAATGGTTTTACAGGCCTAAGGAAATAAAGGCTTTCCTGTAGTTTTGAGCGATTTTCTACTTTCTGCTCAGACAATGAGAACATGAGAAATTTCTGCATCAAGTATTTCAGACTCAAAGTAAAACTGAAAATGCTACAGTCACCAACAGACCAACAGACACAAGAAAAAGCTAAAACTGTCATTTTCAGATGATATGATTATATATGGAAAAAATAAACACACAAACAAAAGAAACCATAGGTCAACTATTAGAATTAACAATGAATGTGACAGGGTTAACCGAATATCAGGTCACTATATAAAAACCAACTGTACTTTTATATATCAGCAATAAACAGTTACAGCCTCAAGACAGCGTGTAAAATGTTGTTGAGCTAGATTAAAGAATACCTAAATAAGTGGAGGGATATTTCATACTCATCGATCATAAATCTCATTGTTGATAAGATATTAATTCTTTCCCAAATGGATCTATAGATTCTATCTGACCTCAATTAAAATACCAGCAGGTTTTTTGGTAGAAACTGACAAGCTGATTTGTAAAATGCATATGGAAATACAAAGGTTCAAAAATAGCCAAAACAGTCTTGAAGAACCACGAAGTTGGAGAACCTACTTTCCCAGATGTCAAGATCTGTCATAAGGCTACAGTAGTTAACATCATGTGGAATTGTAACAAAGTCAGACAAATAGGCCAGTAGAACAGAATACAGAATCTAGAAACAAACCCACATATGTGATGATCTGATTCACAACAAAGGTGGGGAAGACGATGCAGTGGAAAAGGATGATATTTTTCTTTTTTCTTCTTCCTTTTTTTTTAAAGGATGATCTTTTCAATAAATGGTGCTGGGTCAATGAAAAATCCATATACAAAGCAGTGAACCTTGAGCCTTACCTTTATACCACACACAAAAATCAATTCTAGATAGATTATGGGCCAAAATGTAAATGACAGAACAATACAGCTGCTAAAAGAAAACTTGGAAAGATATCTTTATAAAATTGGAGGAGGCTGAGATTAAACAGCTGCTAATGACGACAATATTATCTCTTCGGGTTTTTCACTCAAAGCGTGCTCAGGATGAACTGTGTATCAGTAGTCTGAAGATCGCATCAGTATAAACTATAACAGTAAGTTCCCGACTATATATACAATATCCTTTGTATCCTAGCCAGCACTGCTCAGAGATCAGCGACCCTTTGATGAAGTGACATCAGTAAGAACACGTGGTGTGACTCATGCGCCACAGGAAGCACCAGATCTGGGACAAGAGCACATGGCACTGTGGTATTCTTTCCATGGCCGTAAAACATCTTATCCTTGACACCATACTGTACAGTGATCTCTATGTATCTCTATGCTCTGTAATGACATGGCAGTAAGCTGAATTTTTTTTCTCCCAGTAAGTGCACTTTGATTTCTGCCCGGAATCATCTCCTCTCTGCTTTTATAAGTCCCACTTATTTTCCCAAGTTGCAGCTCAAATCCCACTTTCTTCATATAACCTTCCCGATCAGCCCTGCTTGGGGAGCTCTCTTCCTCACCTCAATTCCCACAGTCCCAGTGCCTATGATATTCATTTAGCAATTAATTAAATGCAGTACTCTGCTGTTTGGAGCTGTTGTTGATTCTTCCTGCACCTCTTGTTCCAAATCCTTTATTAATTATCCCAGGAGCTCTGGCATTGCTGTGGGAGAGCCATCAATGACTTTCTTTTTATATGGAGTCCAAGCTCGGCACTACTCCTCAGGGATATAGAGCCTACAGCTCTCCTGGGGACACTGCAGGCACACACATTTGAAGTCACAGAAGGGAGAAAACAGTCTAAAATTAAATGTGTGGCACAGAGAAGTATTCGGTGTATATCATGGACTTAAAGTCCTCTCAAGTTGGGACTTGAGATGGTCTTGAAACACGGAAAGGCACCCTGATGAGAGGAGAGGAGAAGAAAGGTAGAGGAGATGGGGGAAGTGAGGAGGGGAGGGGGTTAGCCTTCTGGATGATGAGGGGCACACAACAGGAAGTGTGGAACCGCACTGGAGATGAGCGAGTGGATCCGCCAAGCCAGAGCAAAGGCCCAAGGGAGGTACCAGCGGGACAGAAGACCGTGAGATTAGGATGGGAACTGTAGGCCCTGGATGGGCAACTTAAACATTTGGACTTGATCTTATGAAGAGTCCATCAGATAACATGAAAGCTCACTCCTAGAGAGTTCTCAAAATGGGAAAGATTCAAATTCACCTCCGCCTAGAGGCAGGGACATGGAATGTCTATTGAGATCCTTCTAGCAAAGTACGAAAGCCATGACATCACACCCAGCTCCCTAGTGTCATGGGCTGATGGGACCCATCTGTCACCCAGCTCATACCAGTCTGCTTTCTTCTTTCTGCTTGTAGCTCTTGCTTTGATCTTCCTCACTCTCTTTCTTTCCGTCTAAATAGTCTCCAAGTGCTTCCCTATGATAGGAGACAGTAGAGACACTGAAGTTATTTCTAGTACATAGATTCTATATTTAGAGTTTCCACAATACATCACACAATATACAAAAATACATCCCATGAGGATAAAAATCTAAATATATTTTTTTTAAAACACAATCATAAAAACACTAGAAGTAAACACAGGAGGGAACCCATCTAAGAATAAGACCAAAGTGGGGGGGGGGGGATTGAAAGACTTTACTTCCTAAAATTTAAAACTCTTCTCCTTGAAAAGCAAGGCACAAACTGGTAAAAGATACTTAACAAAATTTTGCCACCTAGAAAATAGTATGGGCTCCCTCTCAAATCAATACCAAAAAAAAAAAAAAAAAGACAAAATACTAAGTAGAAAGACTAGCAAAGGATGTGGACAAGGAATTTACAGAAGAAATACATATAGTAAAGAGACATTTGGGAATATGTTCAACGTCACACAGAACCAGAGAACTGAAATTGAAAAGCCTGTGAGGTATCATTACTCTCCATATCAGACGAAAAAATATTTAAAAGGTTGTAAGCCTTTAAAAACCACATCAGGTGTGGGCTTGGTGTGGGCGCCCGATTCTTCATTTTACTCCACGGCTGAGGATGTGAAGTGTAACAACCTTTCTCAAAGACGCTTGGCAAGATTTATCACAAACTTAAACATGCCAACCCTCTGCCCCAAGCTTCAGGAATTCTCTACAGAAAGTACTCAAAGAAATCTGTACGAGTTCTCAGAGGAATCTGCAGAAGAATGATTATTACATCACTGACTATCCTCGCAGGAAAATGGAAACATTCTTACACACATATTAACACCCACCTGTTTAAGAGTTTAGTTAAGAGCCAATAGACGAAAATATTTTGTTGCCTATAAAGAGTACAAGGTAATATTTAGCAGTAAGCAAAGATGTCCACAATAGTTAAGTAAAAAGAGCCAGGTGTAGAACAATGTGTAAACCATAATATAAATTTTCTTTTTAAAATAGGCTTATATACACATAGGAATACTTTTGGAAGGTGACAGTAGTTATTTAAGGAAGGGGAACTTAACTGAGGACTTCTATTTCCTATATTTTTGTATTACTTGAATTTTACAAATAGTGAGTATGTGTGTAAGTGTGTGTTAATCAGAAAATAAGACCAAAGAGGAGGGGGTAAAAGAAGGCTCTGGATTATGGGCTTTTTTAGAGGAGGCAGGGGAGAATGACCCCACCAATCACACCATTACAGCATGGGGGTCCACACTCTTCTCTGGTGAACAGTGGCCATGAGGAAGCCCAGTACTGCCCTAAGAAAGATGAGGGGGCACCTGGATGGATCAGTCGGTTAAGCCTGTGACTCTTGATTTTGGTTCAGGTCACAATTGGTGAGATTGAGCCCCGAGGCAAGCTCCGTGCTGTCAGCACGGAGCCTGCTCAGGATTCTCTCTCTCCCTATCTCCCTGCCCCTCCTCCGCTTGTGCATGCACGCCCCCCGCCCAAAAATAAATAAATAAACATTTTCAAAAATCCTTTGGAAAAAAAAAGAAAAATGAAACCATCATCTTATGATCTCATCCACAGTGAGATAAGCAGATGCCTTTGTCTCATTCTTTCTTGATTTTTTAAAATGTTTATTTATTTTTGAGAGAGAGAGAGAAAGATAGAGCACAAGTGGGGGAGGGGCAAAGAGAGAGGGAGGCAGAGAATCTGAAGCAGGCTCTAGGCTCTGAGCTGTCAGCACAGGACTGGACATAGGATTCGATTACACGGACCAAGAGATTATGACCTGAGCTGAAATCAAGAGTCTGACACTTAGCCAACTGAGCCACCCAAGGGCCCCTTCTGTCTTTCTTTTTTTTATGTTTATTTATTTATTTTGAAAGAGAAAGAGGGAGAGAAAGAAAGATGGTAGGAGAGGGGCAGAGAGAGAGGAAGAGAAAGAATCCCAAGCAGGCTCCACTCTCAGCTCAGAGCCCCACTCGGGGCTCAATCTCATGAACCACAACATCACAACCTGAGCTGAAATCAAGAGTCAGATGCTCAACCAACTGAGCCACCCAGGCACCTCTTGAATTTTTTTTCTAATATTGACTTCCATTTCCCCTCCTTTGTTCAAAGTTCAGCACAGCTCTACATAGTGTTACATCATTTTTGAAATATGGAGTCGAGTTACCACTACCCCCCAACTCCAAATCTAACCAAAAACTCACTTTCTTTCTTGTCATGTCATTCACTTCCCTATTCATATTGAACCTACTCTTTGCCATTACTAAGAAAACTAATGGTTCCGTTCTACTGGAGTCTTCAGACATCGCCAGGTTAATGGTTTTCCCATTATCAGACAAAATGCACTCATTCTCTTGACTTTCTACTTGGACCACCAATTAATTACCAGCTCTATTTAAAAATCCTTCCAACCACTTCCTGGACCAAAAGCCAGTGCTCCAGAAAGAAAAATAACTATGCTACAAACACTTATTACCCAGTTTTAACTTGAATCCCACTGCTGCTTTTTACTTATCATTTTTGACTTTCCTAGCACGGCACTGTCCAAGATGGTAGCCACTATCCACAAGTGACTGATCCAAACTGAAATATGTTGTGAGTATAAAATGGATTTTATACTACATGGATTCTGAAGACTCTGAATGAAAAAAAAAAGCAAACTATCTCAATATGATTTATGTCGATTACATGTTAAAATAATATTTTTATATAGAAAGTTAAATAAATTACAAAATTCAATGTCACCTGTTTTGTTTACTTCATCGGGCCTACTAGAAAAATTTTTTGTTTTGTTTTGTGTTTTGAGAAATTTACTTATAAACTTGGTTCAGTAGAAAATTTTTAATTACATATGTGGCTCGCACTGTATTTCTTTTTTTTTTTAAGTTTATTTGTTTATTTTGAGAGAGAGGGAGAACAAGCGAGGTAGGGGAGAGAGAAAATCCCAAGCAGACTTTGCACCACCAGCACAGAGCCCCATGTGGGGCGCAAACTCACAAACCACGAGATCATGACCTGAGCCGAAATCGAGTCGGATGTTCAACCAACTGAGCCACCCAGGCGCCCCTCATACTGTGTTTCTTTATATTTCTGTTGTTCGACATTGACCTAGCATATTCCAAAGGAGTTGTCCCAGGCTTATCTCTCCTCGGATTTGAGCTGAATCCCGCTTTCAGGGAGCTGCTGCCTCACCACTGCCAAACACGGGGTCTCAATGGACTGCCATCTTCTTGAATACCCCACCTCCCGACCAATCAAAGTCCCTTCTCAGGATTTAAAAAATTGGAACTTAATTGCTTGTTTGGCTGGGTTTTGAGTTTGGGGGGAAATCACTTTCCTTCAGAATTTGAGAGCATTGCTCCATTGTCATCTACCTTCCAGTGCTGCTCCTTCAAAAACCGGAAGTCACTCTGTTTCTTAGTCCTTTCTGTGCGTGTGACAGTTGTTTCCACTCTGGAAACTTGTAGGCTCCTTCTCTTGGTTCTCAGTGCTCTGGGAGCCGCTGTGTCGGCCCCTCCGGCCACCTTAGTCGTCTTTACATTTTAGCAAGCTCTTTGGCCTGAGTGATGGATTAATTAAACCTTTCTTTGTGTGTCTGTAGATTATACATTGCATTGTTTCCTAGAAAGACTCAGGACCCAACCCTCTCGCACAACCTTCCCCCAGCCCTCCACCCCGGCACCTCCTCTGACCTCTGACCGCCAGTGATAATGTCTAGCTGGCACTATTGAGTCTGCCTGCTATCAAGAGGTATGTCACAGACCACTGTGTTCACTTTTTACTGACTAACTGCCCTAAGTTCCTCTAAAAATCTTTGGGCCAGGCGGAAACCTGAGTTGGTTTTTGAACTAGAGTCTGCCTTCTCCCCAGGGGGCCAGACCTCTAAGTAAAGCTCAGATTCTTTTCCAATTAAAACTTGCCTCTTGGGGCGCCTGGGTGGTTCAGCTGGTTAAGCGTCCGACTTCAGCTCAGGTCATGATCTCATGGTTCATGGGTTCGAGCCCCGCGTTGGGCTCTGTGCTGACAGCTAGCTCAGAGCCTGGAGCCTGTTTCAGATTCTGTGTCTCCCTCTCTCTCTGACCCTCCCCTGCTCACACTCTCTCTCTCTCTCTCCCTCAGAAATAAATGAAACATTAAAAAAAAAAAACTTGCCTCTTGACTCTTGAATGCTGAGAACAAACTGAGGACTGATGGGCATGGAGGAGGGCACTTGTGGGGATGAGCACTGGGTGTCATACGGAAACCAACTTGACAGTAAACTATTAAAAAAAAACTTGTCTCTTAAGTATTGGCTTTTCAAGCACCAGGCAGCTGCACTCAGGTTTGTCCATTAACACTCAGCTCTCTTGGTGCTTGTGGGTGGGTCTACCTTTTTTTTTTTTTATATTTTTATTTATTTCTAGGAGAGAGTGAGAGACAGCATGAACAGGGGAGGGTCAGAGAGAGAGGGAGTCACAGACTGAAAGAGGCTCCAGGCTCTGAGCTGGCAGTCAGCACATAGCCCGACGCGGGGCTCGAACCCACGAACCGCGAGATCATGACCTAAGCGAAAGTCGGACGCTTAACCGACTAAGCCACCCAGGCGCCCCTGGGTGGGTCTACTTTTATCCATTGGGCTGCACATTTTCAGTCAGGTGTTCCCCACCAGCTGGAAACTCATGAACTTCAGTTCTGATAAATTTTCTCAAATACTTACAGGGATAATTTCCCCCCCTGTTTGTTCTGCCCTTTCTTTACGGATCTAGAAAGGAGACACTAGGGGCGCCTGGGTGGCTCAGTCGGTTAATGTCCAACTTTGGCTCAGGTCATGATCTCATGGTTCGGTTCTCCAGTGTGAGCCCCTCCCCATCAGGCTCTCCGCTGCCAGCGCAGAGCCCCTTTTGGATCCTCTGTCCCCCCCCCCCCCGCTCCTCCCCCACTCACACTTTCTCTCCCTTTCACTCAAAAATAAACAAACATTTAAAGAAAAAAATAGAAAGGAATATGAGATCACCCAGACTAGTT